AGTTTCTTCTTCTCACTTTATAAGATCTGTTAAGATATGAACACAATTATATTTAAAATTATTGTAAATATTTTATACTTTAAAATATTTTTTTTATATACTTTATATTTTAGAATATTCTCTTTGTAAACACCTATATATAAGTTTTTGTACATACAGTATGATTCAAAAAAGTAATAAACTTTTTTTCAAATTATTCTTCTTTTTTGTTTTTCTAACATAGTATCAGAGCCATAAGCTTCTGGTTCTTTTCTTTTATCATCGCTCTTGGGTTTTTTGGAGTTGGATTTTCAATTCCATTCCAAATATGAAACTTTGTCGTTTGGATCTCTTCTCTTACAGATTGGATTGTTTATCCTCGATTTTCAAGCCCTTTCTGAGGTATTTTGTTAGTTTGTTATTTCGATCTTGGTATCTATTTCTTCATATTTTTAGAGTTTTTTAGTATTGTGAGTTTACTGATTCTATGACGAGTTTTGAAAGGATTGTAACTCATCCTGCTACTGCTATGGTTGCCAAAGAAGTAATAGAACAACCTAATGTCAACCTTTAATCCCTAAAACAGGTGATATTAAATCTTTTTAATGCTCCTACTGCCTTATCTACTGCTCCGGGTACCAAACCTTGGTATTTCGATTTTGGTTGTTGTAACCATATGTTTTCAATTACTGCTCATTTCTCTTCAATGTCACCTAATAATTCCTTTCCCGATATTTATTCTGCTGTTGGTTCCCTTATGAATGTTAGTCACATTGGTAATGTTTCTACAAAGTCATTGACTTTACCAAATGCCCTTTTAGTTCCAAAACTTAGTTATAATCTTCTATCTGGCAGTCAATTATGTGATCTTGGTCTTGAAGTAACATGTTCTGCTCATGGTTGTCGTGTGCAAGACCCATGGACAAGACAACTTCTTGGAACTGGTCGCAAGGTGGGGCATTTGTTTGAACTCAACTATCTACATATTCCTGATAATAAAATGGATACACCATCATTTCCAAATGATCGATTAATCCAAACCCTGCTTTGTGCTGTTGAATTAGAGTCTTTGCAAATTCTATATCAACAAATCTTCCAAACCTGTGCTGCTACTAACATTTCTCCTTTCCATTTGTGGCACTCACGACTCGGACATACCTCAGTTGGTAAACTCCGTCCACTTATCTCTCGTGGTTTGTTAGGACCAATTTCGAATGAATTGTGCATTGTGTGTCATGTCAATCTACAAAGCAACCAGCTTCATCTTTTTGAGTAGTCATTCTCATTCTACTACTCCTTTTGATCTCGTGCATTCTAGTGTTTGGGGTCCATCTCCTACACCCACCATGGGGGGTTCTACGTACTTCATGTTATTTATTGATGATCATACTCATTTTACCTGGATATACCTTATGAAAAATCGCTCTGAATTATCACAAATTTATATTGATTTTGCTACCATGGTCCTGTTTTTTGGGTTATGGGATTACACCAAAAGGATATCGTTGTTGGGATCCTGTGTCACAAAAACTTCGAGTTTCACGTCATGTTGTCTTTTGGGAACACACTATGTTCTCATCATTGTCAAACTTCAAAGTGTCATCCTCTTATCAACCTCCTTTTTTTACTAATCCTTCTATTGAGCTATTTCCTAGTGATTCTAATGCAGGTACATCTAATGAGCTTTGCAATGCCTCATCACATCCAACTAGTTTTGTAGAAGATGATCTGCCTGCTGGTAATGCATTAGATAATTTTGAGCCTTCTTCTACTTCCTCGTCTATATCACATGTTGATTCTATAAATGAGCTTGTTGTCCCATCCTCGAGTCATCTTACTCGAGTAAGAAACCCTCCCAACTACCAATGTGATTATCATTGCTTTCCTACTATTACTTTGTTACATGAGCCTCAATTCTATCAAGAGGCCTCTTCTAACCCTCTTTGGCAACAAGCTATGCAAGATGAATTACAAGCTCTTGAGAACACTTGTACATGGGATTTAGTTGATCTCCTTATTGAAAAATCTCTAATAGGCTGTAAATAGGTGTACAAGATCAAAACACAATCTGATGGTTTTGTGGAGCATTATAAGGCACGCTTGGTTGCCAAGGGTTTTACACAAGAGTATGGAATCGACTATGAGGAGAGATTTGCTCCAATTGCTCATCTTACATCTGTGCGTAGTTTGCTTGTTATCGCTGCTATGTGGAGATGGAAATTTTTTCAGATGGATGTGAAAAATGCTTTTCTTAATGGTGACCTAGAAGAAGAAGTTTATATGAAACCACCTCTTGGGCTCAACCATCCTCCAAACAAGGTATGCTGATTGCGTCGTGCATTATACGGGTTGAAGCAATCCCCTCGAGCCTGGTATGCAAAGTTTAGTGCTACTATGAGTGAGTTTGGTTTTACTTCTAGTCCACATGATACAGCTTTGTTCATTCGTAAGACTGCTCGGGGTATGGTCTTTTTACTTCTTTATGTTGATGACATGATTATTACTAGAGATGATGTCGCAGGTGTTGAGGAGTTAAAACAATCTCTCAGTCAGAAATTTGAGATGAAAGATCTTGGTGTTCTGAGCTATTTTTTGAGGCTTGAAGTGACCTCTTCAGATGATGGCTACCTGCTTTCTCAAGTAAAGTATGCCTCCGATCTTGTTTCTAAAGCTTAACTCAATGATGGTAAGAGTGTTTCTACACCTCTTGAACCTAATGTCAAGCTTACACCTATGGATGGCTCTCCACTTTCTGATCCTACTCGCTATCGGCAATTGGTTGGTAGTCTGGTTTATCTTACTACGACACGCCTTAATATAGCATATGCAATTCACATTGTTAGTCAGTTTATGGCTGTTCCTCGCTCCACTCATTATGCAGCAGTACTTTGCATTATTCATTATGTTAAGGGAACATTATTTCATGGACTCCATTTTTCTGCCAACTCCTCCCCTGTGCTTTGTGCTTACTCTGATGCTAATTGGGTTGGTGATCCTTCTAATCATAGATCTACCACTGGTTACTATCTTTTCCTTGGTAATTCTCTTATCTCTTAGCAGAGTAAGAAACAAACTATTCCATCTCGCTCTAGTACTGAAGCTGAGTATAGAGCTCTCGAGGATACCATATCAGAACTTCTTTCATTGCGATGGCTTCTTGAAGATATGGGCATTCTTCAACCTTCTTCTACTGATTTATATTGTGATAATCAAAGTGCTATGCAGATTACTCATAATGATGTCTTTCATGAACGCACTAAACACATTGAGGTTGATTGTCATTTTATTCACCATCATGTTGCACAAGGAACTGTTCATTTGGTTTTCACTGGCTTCGCTGATCAACCAACAGATCTCTTTACTAAGGCTCATTTTTCTAGACGCTTTCGTACTCTTCTTTCCAAACTCAAGTTGGTTTCATCACAACCACCTTGAGTTTAAAGGGAGATGTTAAGATGTGAACACAATTATGTTTAGAATTATTGTAAATATTTTATACTTTAAAATATTCTCTTTATATAATTTATATCTTAGAATATTCTCTTTGTAAATACCTATATATAGGTCATTGTACATACAGTATGATTCAAGAAAGTAATAAACCTTTCTTCAAATTATTCTTTTTTCCTGTTTTTCTAACAAGATCCAATCTTATGTTGAGATTAGATAGCGACAAAATGCGAACATAGTTGGACTCAATGAGAATTGCCGAGAGAAGAACATTAATCCTGTCAATTTGAAAATCAATGTTTTTTTCTTTTTCTTTTTTTTAAAAAGAAAATTAATGTTTTCCGTTGTTTTAAGTAGCTAAAGGAAAGAAAGAAGCTCTCAACAACAACCACTATTAGAGGCAAATGATAATCTTACATGAAAGTGTTTGTTGAAATGTCTCTGTGAATTACAAATGCAGCATTTGTTGGCTGTTTTATGTGCTATAAGTGTCAAGATTAAAGGGCGGTGTTGGTGTTAGTAACTCCCGCCAATCCTCATGGATTCGTGATATGCATAATAAAGTCGGAATTTTCTTCAGTAAATATCGTACTAGATGGACCAAGTGAAAAAGAAAAGAGCTTTATTTGATATTGTGCTGTAATACAATATACACATGTCCAAAGCATGATGCTTTCTCAAAGAAGCTGGAAAATATCAGAAAAAGCACAAACAATCAGCGAGGTGACACGTCTGAAAGTGTTACCTCATTGACAGAATAGACAATGTTGTCTGCAGAGGGCAAAGCTGGTTCTGCAACAACTCGCCCAACAAAAAATGCAGGTTCGGTTGGTTTAGGAAGAGTTATGGTCTCACTGGCCAACATTACTATCACCGATGACATGGAGGGTCTGTCCACCGGATCTTTCTGCACGCACAACAGACCAATATGGATACACTTGAGCACTTCAAATTCCACACATGAGTGCACCACAGTTGTGGGTCTATCAGCTGCATTCCTTGACCATTAGACCATAATTTCCATGCCTGCAATTTGATTTTGAGATTAAGATTATCTCACTTTGTTCATCAAATATTTGTTTGAAGACAGAATAAAGGTTGGATAGAAACTCACAAATGTTAGAAGGCTTTCACAGCGTTCATAAAAGTAAAATCCATTGCTCTTCTTCCCACACATGATCTCTAGCAATAAGACTCCAAAGCTGAACACATCAGATTTGACAGAAAATGGTCCTTCCATAGCATACTCTGATGCCATGGATCCGCTGTTTAAATTTCATAAGACCATAATTTAAATGATTTAAATGTGGAATCATTGAACTTTAACATCAGACTTCTTTGTTTGGATACTTCTCTTTAGAGATGCTAGCCTAGAAAGCAAGGGAACTGTTAGATGAGGACTTACTATGTTCCAACAACTCTCTTTGTGTTTGCTTGACTTTGATTTCCACCAAAAATCCTTGCCATACCAAAATCTGAAATTTTTGGGTTCATTTCACTATCTAACAAAATGTTACCTGCTTTAAGATCCCTGTGAATAATTCTAAGATGAGAATCCTCGTGCAGATACAAGATGCCCCTAGCAATTCCAGTGATGATGCTAAATCGTCTCGGCCAATCTAATTGCATACTCATTCTTGCATCTGACAGACACCAAAAGTAAAATTAAAAAAAAAAAGAAAAAAAAAGGGGTGATTGTTGTCATTTTCCTACTCCCATTTCAAGTGTAAAGTTGAAGTTGGCTGGTTCAAGGATCAAACCGAAAAGGAAGATATCAAGGCTTCTGTTTGGCAAGTACTCATAAACCAACAATGTTTCATTATCCTCCAAGCAACATCCCAAAAGTCTTACAAGATTTCTATGTTGTAGTCTAGCAATCAGCATAACTTCATTCTTGAATTCAAGTAGTCCTTGACCAGAAGTTCTTGAGAGCCTCTTAACTGCAATTTCTTTACCATCTGCTAGAGTACCCTGCAAAAAGTCTAAATTTATGCAACATGTATAACGAGTTAAATAGTAAAATGTGCCTACAGATTGCAACATGTAATAATCACCTTATACACAGGACCAAATCCACCTTCTCCAAGCTTATTTGCATCCGAGAAATGTTTTGTTGCTACACTTATAATATCTAATTGAATTGAAGGAAATTCCTGGGATCCTTCCACATGCTCACCTTGAAAATCTTCAGTTGAGAAGTCGCAATGTGTTCTTGCTCCCAACTCAAGTAGTTGAACCTCTTGGCTGTTCTCTTTATCTATTGCAAGAAAACATATTGTTGTTAGCAAAACAAGACACGATACCCCACAGGAAATTGCACAATCCACTGCTGACCCTTAGCACTCCTTCTCCAGATGATGAAAGCAAAAGAACTAAGCAAAGTTAACCCGAGAACTGCCAATGAACTAACAGCAATTGGAATCCACAATCCTTTGAATGATGCCAAATTATTCTAGTTCAGCCAATAGCTATTCTCACAAAACAGAATCAAGGACTTCTACATTCAATACTAACAGACATTATAACATAATGATACTGATGATCACTCTCATATCATTATTAAAATTTACACGCAATGTGAATTGCTCTTTTTTCTAGCAAAATCTAGGGTTCTTTCAATTCTCGTTATGTTTAATGCAATTTGAGTGCTGAATTATTTAGGAATCAGAAATACAGTTGACTTAGACCAACATTAATTTTAAACCGAGGTGTGACCTTGCGGTACCTGGTATGGTTGTAGTAGTAGTATCATTTGAAGGTGGATCCACTGTATCAAATCTAAGATTGCAGCTAGGTCCAAATACTCTAGCTCCCAGCTTTCCTTGACAACACTCTGGAATTTTTCCAAGAGCCACTGACAAGCAAGAGACACACTGTGAAGGGGACAAATCAGGAGTGCACTGCATAAGTGCATGGATCGTCTCCAAATCTGGAGTCACTCTTGTCCCCATGGCAAAGTTGACAGCAGGTCTAGCTGTGGCTGTTTGCGCCATGAGGCTTTCCAACAAGCTTTTCAGGGTGTCACCGAAAGCACTAACATTCTTGGCATTCTTATTCAAACTCAAACTGAAAGAATTGGGACGATCTTCCTTAACGCCAAAGATGGATCGATTTGAGTACCCGAACATGCAATTGTCATACCATACAATTGCTTCCTTCTGGTCGGCACAGCGATCTCTGAGCTCGATGAGGGCACCGTAGATGCATCCGACGCAAAGCTGATACAAAACGTCTCCTCTACAGAGTGCAATCACATTAACTTTGTCAGAGTTTTGTCCAATGGAACCATTGTAAAACCCATAATCCCTTATTGTGTTAATTGAGATCTTGGGGAAAAAATCAAGAAGGTTTTTCTAGTAGGCGTCGTCTGTGAAGTTACCTCTGTCATATAAACAGAGGGACTCCAAGGGGGATTCCATGGAAGATTGAGCAACACAGGTGGTAAAGAGTTGAATGACGAACATTGAAACAAAGAAAAACTTCGCTGAAGAATCCATTGCCTTTCTTTCTGCCTGGTAATTTAGTAATGTACTAATTACAGGAGTAGGAAGAACTTTTACGTTTCTGGAATAGGTAAGAATTTCCTAATTCCAACGTCAGATACTGACATTTTATTTACTTTGAAAAGTTCAATTTGGAAAGATGAACCGAAGCTTCTTCTGTCTCAAGTTTTACTCCCACTGTTTTCCATACGCGTAGATTTGTCAAAAGGGAGAACCAAAGTTCAAAGCGATAATATTGTATTGATGCATATCATATAAAATACAATTATTTTAATCCTTTCCTGTTGAAATATACTGACAAAACCTCACCCCATTTTCTGATGTGTCCGTGCATGTTGATCCACCAATGTAATCACAACTAAATTTTGTCAGTAAAAAAATGAAGATGCTGTATTTTGTTGACAAGTGAACAGGTAAGAACAAAGTCAAGTAAAAAATTAAAGAACAAAGAAAGCAGTTAAAACTTCTTGGAATCTCACATTAATCAACGGCTAAATATTGGTGATTATTTCATCTTCAAACGTGTCGAACGTTCTTTCGGATGAAATTTCTTTCTTAGGAGTTGCTAATAACTTAACATTAAGAAACGTAGTTTACAAATTACTTTGGGAAAGAAATATATCAAAAACAGGATGTCTTAGTATAATTCTCTCAGAGATGTAGGCATGAGTGAGCTGTTTCATGTGCTACAGATGTCAAGATTAAGAGGTCAAAGATTGAGCTGATCCCCATCATATGTATTAGATATCATCAAAAGCTTCGTGGCATTTTAGTAATTAGCCATATGTAATTAGTGAATTAAAGGAGAGAAAAAGGAATTGTTTCGGTAGATTATATTTGCCATAGAGATAGGCATTTGGTAGGACTTTCCCCGGGGGCTTGGTTGAAGGCGTTTGTTGAAGAAAATGTCTCTATAAATGATTTTCCCAAAATGAAAGTGATAGTTTCTAATGGGGCTCTAAATGTCAAGATTTGAGGGCAGAGAGAGGACTAATCCTTAAGGATTCTTCAAATAGCATAACTAAGTTGGAATTTTCTACCAATCAAATATCACTCTGGACAAAGGAAGAAAAACAAAACAAATTAAAAAAATTAAAAAAGTTGATATTGTCATGTAATTAATATACATAAATATAAATGTACGAAGTTTGATTCAATAAAGAAAGGAAGATTAATTAGAAATATCAGAGAAAGCACAAACAATCAACGAGGTGACACGTCTGAAAGTGTTACCTCGTTGACAGAACAGACATTGTTATCTGTAGAGGGTGTAGCTGATTCTGCAACAACTCGTCCAACAAAAAATGCAGGTTCTGTAGGTCTAGGAAGAGTTAAGTTCTCATTGCCCAACATGAGTATTACAGATGACATGGTGGGCCTGTCCACCGGATCTTTCTGCACACAAAGCAGACCAATATGGATGCACTTGAGCACTTCAAACTCCACAAATGACTGCACCAGTTGTGGGTCTATCAGCTGCATTCCTTGACCTTGAGACCATAGTTTCCATGCCTGCAATTTGATTTTGTATTAAGGTCAGGTTGTTTTATTTATCAATATTTGTTTGAAGAAAGAACGAAGGTTGGTTAGAAACTCACAAAGGTTAGAAGGCTTTCACAGCGTTCATAAAAGTAAAATCCATTGTTCTTCTTCCCGCTTATAATTTCTAGCACCATGACTCCAAAGCTAAACACATCAGATTTGACAGAAAAAAGTCCTTCCATAGCATATTCTGGAGCCATATATCCACTGTTGAATTTCTCAAGAGTGTAACTAAAATGTTTAACATTATAAACTACTTTGTTTGGATGACAAATAATAATAATAATAATATTTACTAGCCCAACTTATAAAAAATTAAGTAAAAAAATATTTTAAAATTATATCGTTTTAATAAAATTTAACGAGAAAAGACTAATAATAATAATAATATTTACTAGCCCAACTTATAAAAAATTAAGTAAAAAAATATTTTAAAATTATATCATTTTAATAAAGTTTAACGAGAAAAGACTAAAAATAATATCATTCTTACTTAAAAAAACAAATTATTT